GCTTAAAACATAAGATCTACCACACAGTGGGTGCCAGTAAAAGTTATCTTCCTACTTGGGCTTTTGCTACTAGAAAGCTTAGAGGTAAATTGGAATATGAAAGTTACTAGCCTGCACGGTTACACTACATTTTAATATAATATAATTATATTTTAATACAACCTAGTTTTGACATTCTTGTCATTTACATTTTCCTGATCCTGATTATTTATTTCTCTTACAGCTGTCTTATTGTAGGTACTTTTATTGGATATGTTCCCCAATTCTTTGCAGAACTAGGTGGATAGAACCCAACTGATGTCAGGAGAAATGGATCCTTATTGTGACTCCACAACGACTGTGTGAGTTGAGGCATGGAGTCTCTCTGAAACTCAGTTTCCTCATCTGTAGAATGGAGAGAATAATAAATCTACTGTCTATCTTATGGTGCAGGAATAAGGCTCTCTGGCTTCAGTGTTTTGCAAAAGGCTTTTGTAAACCATGAAAAACAAACAAGTGGAAACATTTATTATTTGTGAGACAATGCCCCATTTTATTTGTTTTTGTAATTATCCCCCTCCCTAAACTGTGCCTAGGACTCACACCATAGGGCCAGGCATGTACTAAGTGCCGAGAAAACGGGCATTGAATCTCACCTCCCAGGCCTCAGCCATGCCTGCTTTCTCTTTGCAAGCTCTTAGTGAGAGCTTGAAGGCCCAGTGTGTGATGACCCTTAGAGATGGAGGGCATTCACCCACCAACATGGGCCCACTCAGCAGGATTCAAGCATAAAAGTGAAGACAGCGTTAACTAACGGTGCCCAATGGGCAAGCGAGTCTGTCAAACACCGTTACGGGAAGGGCAGACAACCCAGCCCCATATTATAGGAATTCAACGGGGATTTGTTTCGAAGCATTTTGATTTGGACTGAAAATGAACAAGGAGAAGATGACACTATGAACAAAAGATATAAAGAAGATTTAAGAGTGGATATAAAAAGAAAGCACCAAAAGAAAGACCCCACAAATGATCCCAGTGAGTGAAAGATCTCAGAAAAAAATAACGATCAGGTACACAGAGCAATAAGATCAAAATCAGATTACTTAATAAAAGCCAGAATTTCTTTAAACCGAAAACAATGCGCATTGTTTGTCCCCAAAATGTGACATTCACTCCTTTTTCAAGAATACTAAAGCACTCCAAAGCAATGGCCCATACCCGACAGAGCCCCAACAACCTTGCATCCCAGAGGCCATTGTTCCTACCCAAAATTGGAAGACTTGACTGAAGGGATCTTGCAAACTTAGTAGTTAATTTGGAACAGAAAATCCCTGAAAATAAACCTACACAGGGATCCGTAGAGTTTGAATCAGGCAAGAGCCCACCTGTTCAATAATGAAATAATTGCTCAGGGCATGTTCTTCTGCAATCTTTCCCTATGTGACATCTATTCTTGCGCTCCACCTCTCTCAATGCTTCCTCAACATTCGCAAATAATCTCAGGGCCTCCTAAAGATGCCGATGCAGAAGCCAGACAGTCACTTCCCTAATACCACGAAAATAGATTCAATTTTACATACATCAGGGTGATTTCAGAAGCAATTTCTACATCTCCAGTGTAAGCATTACTTACTTTTTTTTTTGCCTCAAATCTCATCCCCGTGGTTCCACAGGGTATTTTAAAAGGTACCTGATGCGTTCCAGGGCATTCAAAAGAATCCCTAGAGCATGTTTGTGGCTGTAGCCTGAGGACACCAGATGCATAGAGTCCTAAAACATTCATTGATTCAAAAAAATGCAAAATTTCTTAATAATTATGCATAATGTCAATTGAAATTTGTTTTTTCTGTCTTTTTAAAAGCAATATCACTAAAAAGAGTGCATATATATATGTCAGTGTATATATGTGTATATATCTCTGTGTGTATATATATAATACACATATACCAATCATTTGGAAAGATTGTCTCTGCACTTTAAACATCTAGTTAGATTCTATTGGATATGCTTCCTCTTCCTCTCTGGTTGGCTAATCTACCTCAGTCTTGGATACTTTCCTCGTAAGAGTCTAAGTGTTAGCCCATGGGGAAAATGGTAGTGATGTTTCCCCTTGCAATTCAAGAAATCGGTATTACCCAGCTTTTCACTTGAGATCAGAAAGCTTAAGATCAAATATCTACAATTTCAGATGATTGTCATGCATCTTTGACCATAATCTTTTTGGCATTCAGAGTCCTCCCAGGATAGTTTGACAAATGGAAAAAAGTGTACGCACAAGGCTGGCCTTACAAGAAAGGTTTTGGGTGAATGGGTACCACTTGGCCAGTATGTTCCATCAGCTAGACTTGCTAATGAACTTCGTTGCCCCTGGGCTAAAATCTGGAAAGTCAGTGACAAGTTAATACAGCCAGAGGCTCAGGGAGCTCAGGATGAGCCTTTCTTTAAGGACAAACCAAGTCCATTTCTTTGCCAACTCCTTTCTGCTTCTCCTGGCCTATGTCAATATCCCCTATTCCTGGTCCCTAGGGAATGTACGAATCCCAGAAATTCACCTGGGTTGAGAATGTAAAAAGGACTGGTTCACGGTTAGGCAGGTTACAAACTTGCTCTGCTGTTTGAGAAAAACGGAAGTTAAATATTTGCTCATGAACTAATCTGTATGTACCATTAGATTTTGTCTTAAAAGCCATTACTCAACCTTAAGAAGTGCTCAAACTTAGCATCGTCAATAAAGGGCAAAGTGATAATGTGTGTCTATTGATACGATACAAAGGGAAGTACACATTACCTATGTAGTATTTTTGCCAAAATGCTTAACCTGAATGTAATCATGATGAAAAAATCAGATGAATCCAGATCATGGAACAATCTACGGGACAACTGGCTTAGGCTTTTAAAAGATGTCAGCAACCTGAAAGAAAAAATAAAGGTGGGAGGGCTATTCTAGATGAAAGGCGATGAAGAGACATGATGACCAAATATAATGTGAGCACCTTGATTGGAGCCTGGATTAAAAAATAATAATAATAAAGAACATTTTAGGGCCATTGAGGAAATCCAAATATGAACTGGTATATTTATAATTTAAACAAGGTTACATTTCTTGGGTAGAATAGTTTTATGGTGGTTATGTTGAAGAGCTGTCCTAGTTCTTAGGAAACACATGCTGAATTCTCTGGAGGTGGAATGTCACGATGCCTGCAACTTACTTCTAAGTGGTTCAGAAAGTTATATATAGATACAACGAGAGAGAGAGAGAGACAAAGTGCAAATATTGCAAAATGTGAACAATTGGCGAATCTAGGTAAAGGATATATGAGTATTCATTTTACTATTTTTTCAATCTTTTTATAGGTTTGAAGCTAATCTCTCTTTCCCAAGGCAGCATGCCAGTATTTGAAAATAGCCATTGCCTCCCTCCAAGTTCAGCTTTCTTAACCAGGGTGCCTATAAGAACCTCCTGCGTGGCTTTTGCAAAATCCACATCTCTGAGTCCCCACTCTACCCCTCATCCTCCAAGAGATTTTGATTCAGTCGGTAAAGTGCCGGGCCCAGATATGTGTATTTTGAAAACTTCCTCAGATGGGTTCTGTGCTGCCCTTGAGGTTAGGAATCACGGGTTTGAGTTAACTTCAGATCCTAGATCCATCAGGAACTAGCTACGTCACTCTGGGAAGGTCATCCCAACACACTAAGCCTCGGATACCTTATCTATAAAATGGGAACAATCATAGTAAGTATCTCACAGGGCGGTAAGGATGAAGGGGGTTAATAAATATTTGTTTCCTTACTTTCTTCACCCTCTCCTAGATCCCTATCATCCCAAATTGATCACATCTAAGTGAATTTTACAAAATATGATTTCTTCCATTTGCCATTGGCACAGGGTGTGGAGGACATTTGTCTATGCTCATATCCCTTTAGATTTCCTGCATTCCCCAATTTGGAGCAGAAGCTGGGGAATCTAGCATTTCTATTAAATCCAGGAAAGAACTGACTTACAGAAAGATAAGAATAAAAGTCAGATCTCTTGAGTCTGATCACCAAGGTACCTTTAGGTTACCAGTCTTGAGGTTCTCCTTTGGACGAGGGCTAACCCTGAAATCTTAGCCACTTCTATTGGCTTGGCATCCTGTATTAACTCTGCATGAGGACTCAGGTTCTCTTGACTAAATGCCCTTCGGAACATGGGCTGTAGCTTGGAACAGGCCAAGGCTTGGGAGGCATGGCTTCCAGGTCTGGATATGTTACTCATCAGCCACGGGTCTTTGGAGAAGTTGCTTTTCTGAGCCTCAGTTTCCTACGCACTCAAAACAGAAAGAGTAATAATCCATGACTCATATACTTTACATGGCTTATATGAAACACTGCTTTGAAAACTATAAGGCACTCAATTCAATACGGCATGTTTTTCTCTTTAAGGGCATAATCATGTACTCCTCCATCTTTTTTACTATTATTGGTGTTTTTGTTTTGTTTTGTTTTGTTTTTTGCTGAGGAAGATTGGTCCTGAGCTAACACCTGTTGCCAATCCTCCTCTTTTTGCTTGAGGCAGACTGGCCCTGAGCTAATATCTAATAAAGGAAGTGCCAATCTTCCTCTATTTTGTATGTGGGTTGCTACACAGCATGGCCGATGAGTGGTGTAGGTCTGCACCCGGGAACTGAACCCGTGAAGCTGGGCCGCCGAAGCAGAGCATGCTGAACGTAACCACTAGGCCACGGGGCAGATCTCCCCTACTATGATTAGTTTTAACCTGTCTCTATTTATGTCCATAAGCAGTTAAGATGGCTTTCCCCCATTTCCACTGGCTTTGGGGTATATTCTTAAATTCACCTTTTCACCTCAGGATGGGTAGCCCCAGGTCTTTGCTAGGGAGAACCTTCATCCCCAGACCATCCCAGGGAAGCATCCAGACTCCACACCATACAGCACCTGACCACTGTGAGGGGTCCACAGCAGTGGTACCAGGGTCAAGCTGAACCACAGATGTCCCCCTCCCCTTAGTTGGCTCAACTTACTGAATCCATTAATGTCCTGAGAGCTAGAGAAGCCTTCATCGTTGCGGCTGGTGCTGAGCTTGGTGGTAGGTTTGTCGGCGGAGGCAACAGGACCCATCTCCCTCTGGGCTCCACTCTGTGTCTCCTTCTGCTTCTTGGCCAGCTTCCTTTGGGACATGTGCAAGGGGAAAAATCACAGTCAGATGGTGCCAGTTGCATTAAAGCATTGGGAAGATCAGATTGCTCTCCTTCCCCACCCATCATCCTCGACTCTCAAACTTGGTTCATTCTCCAGGAATAAAGTTAATGTGGTTCCTCCAGTGTCAACATGGAATAAACCTAAGTCCTCCTGAGACTGTTGTGGCTTCCATTTACTCAGAAATATGAGACTCATTCTGCCTCATCCCCAGCAATGGGTGTGTTCTTTACTTGAGCTTAAACTGGGAAATCAATGAGACTTGCATGACACTTCCCTTACTCTCCTCTCAAAGGGAGAAAGAGGCCAGATTGATCTTTCTGTTCCCATGGCTCTAAGTGAAATTCAAAATGGAATCTGGCCTTTCTCAGGGACTAAGCTCATGAAATAACCCACCAAACAATGGCAGATTGAAGTAGGGCCTGATGTTTAGTGGGTGAGGGAGGAGGTTAGTTAGTCCCGTAGCTCAAAAGAAGAAAAGTTAAAGCTGAACTTTATGCATGGCTATTCCTATAGGAATAACAGACCCTCAGAACCAGATGGGCATTTATAACAATACCAGTTTAGAGCAGTGGTTATCAAACTCTGGTGAAAATTAGAATCATTTGGAGAGCTGAAGAAAACATACAGACGCCCAAGCTCATGGAGGTAGGACAGAGCCTGTATATTTGCATAATCACCAAGTTCCCCAGGTTATTCTGACACCATCCATTGGAGGTTAAAACCATCAGTTCTGGTGTCAGGCAGACCTGGGTTCATATCCTACCTCCGCTACCTGCTGGCTGCATGACCAGCAGTTCTTTAACCTCTTTAAGTTCTGAACTCTTCCTCTGTATACTGTGGCAAACAGCAGAATCAACCTCATATGGTTGTAAGGATTAAATGAGATAACGTGTGAAACACTCAGAGCACAGTGCCTGGCACATAGTGAACATTCAACACGTGGCAACTGCTATTCTTGTTTTTATATCGTCGCCACTGGTCCAACTACATTCCAACGTCCAAATCTCCCTCCAACAGCCCCACTGTGAAATCCCTGGATTATATCAAGCGATGGAGACTTTGACACCTCACCAGGGAGCTGAAGGGTTAAAAAGTTCTCCCTCATATGGATTTGAAATCTACTTCCCTTAAATTTTAAATAATTGGTCTTACATCTATCTTCAGAGATAAAAAAAATATAACTAACTCCTCTTGCAAATGACAGTTTTTCAAATATTTCTAAAAAAACAACATGGTCCCTCTGAGTTTTCCCAACATTTATGCATCTAAATATAGTTATTATGTTCCTATATCATATTATGTTATGATATGAAAGGCTATAGGTTGCACATTACATATCTTGCGGGTAAATTTTTCCAGGTTTCCTGATCCATTCCTCACAGGAGGTGGCATCAAATTCAATCTTGGTCACTCCTATCTCCATATGGAAAGAACAGATGTCTCAGAGAGGTAAAATTCAGCGCCATGTAGGAAATAATTTCCCAAAGTTGATCCCACCTGACCATGACATAGGCAGTTTCATTAGGTAATGATCTCCCTGTCAAAGGAGGTATTAAATGAAAGGACAAAACTAGACTTGCAAGTATCTTAGAGGGGTTGATCTAGGATCAATTCTAGTTTGATAGTATCTTCCTTCACATGAGTCCCTTGGTCTAGGTATAGACCGCACAGAAGAACGACAGATGGCACACTCAAATGAGGATAATTTGTGTTTATGTGTAAAAGAACCACTGACAAAGGTGAGAAGATTGTAGGGAAACCCAAGGTATAATATAGTGGCAGGAGGGCTGTTTGCCACTCGTGTGTCCAGAGGGCCGAGCAGAGGAAGCAGTAACCAGAACTCAAAAGGAGAGACTCATGAAGAAGAGACCACTTGCACAGAAGCAGTGGCCTTCTCTTGAGAGACTCAGCCAATCCTGCATGATCTCCCAGGGAGGGAACCAGAGGCATACTACATCCTCCCCTCTCCCTCTGGCCTCCTACAGTGGCTCTCATTAGCTGAACCCAACTGGAAGCTAGAGGCATGGAGTCCAGATAGATCTAGCCATATAAGCAGAGAGCAGAGTGCAGAAGCATGGGAAGTGAATCTGGATCCAGGAAATCCCCACCAAGAAGAGAAGAGCTTTTGCCTCCCTCGTTTTAGTCACAATTTAAAGACAAATGCCCAGCCTAAAATGGAATTCTTATTCTTTTATTTTAAATTTTCATTGGCTTGCAGAAAGAAGGGCACTCAGGAATAGAAATGTCTCTTTTGTTATAATGCTCTGGCCACAGGCATTCTGTTCCACGAGTGAAACTATTCCGGGCAGACAGAAAAACAACAAGAAAGGGAGCACTGGATCAGTTGAGTCTTTTCTCACCGTGGGCAGGCAATCAGACAGGGGGCAGGGGCACACCAGTGAAAGAAAAATGGGTAATTCTGCTACTGATGACATTTTGAAATTTTATCCTTCATTTATTATCAAAAAGGAGTGTGTTTAAAAATGTATATGTGACCTTCCTAATCATAAATTTGAAAAGATCTACAGCAGATCCTTTGCCTCTATCTGAGCTCTGCTCATATTACCCCAGCAGGAAATAAAAGGAAATTTGATAAAAGAGTTAACTTTAAAACTATAAATGAGTAGGTATCGGAGGCTTTGATAGTTCCTTGGAGGGAGAACTCCCAACCAATCTCATTCCATTCAGGCTAAAGTAATATGGAGAGCGTTGTCTTAGGCACAAATCATTGGTTTCCAAAGGAATATAACAAAAATAAGGCCCTGCTGTGTCTATGAAAAATGGCATTTTACAGAAATGTTTGGGTAGCTCTGAACACTCGGATGAAAAAAATGAAAAATTGAGCCTCTCCAAAATATACAGATATTTAAAAATCGGGCAACTGAGTTGTAAAAACTCAGGTGTATGACAGCCCATGGTTGACACCACATATTCATGGTGATGATGATGCTATACAATAATTTTAAAATGAATAGACAAGTGTTTCAGCAACAGGTAAACACAGCTACAAAGTGGAAATGGAGACGATGTAGAAGGAAATAAAATACAAAACCACAGTTTTGGGATCTATCTTTATTCTACCTGAATTCAAAATTTAAGTATTAAAAGCCCTCTCAGTAATACAGACAAAATCATATTCATTCCTATAGGCACAGAGTTTAATTGATCTCTCTCCCTTTTTTTCCTTAAGAGAAGGAAAAACCGAAACTTGTGAGTAGAGCACACAAGACCCTCAGACTACGGCTCCAGACTTCAACTCAGCCTTATCTTCCACACACATCTCCTTTTAGGAAACACCAACTGCCTCGCATCCCTCCCCAAGCATTCCACAATATGCTATATTCTTTAATGTGTCCCCATTCTTCTCTGCTGGCTACCTCCCCCTCATCCTTCATGGCTCAGTGGCATTCAAATGTCACATCTCCTTTGAGGTTTCCTCTTGCTCCTCTAAACAGATTTGTAGTTTTCTCTTCTTGGTTGACTCATCCATCGAACAAATATTTATTGAACACCTACATGTACCAGTCTTTGCTAGATGTAAGAAGATCATAATGTCAAAACCGAGACATGACCTTGACCTTCACAGAACACAGAGACTGATGGCCAAGACAGGCACTAACGGATAAATACAGAAATAAATATAAAATGGCAAAAGTGAGGGAAGCCAAGAAGGAGAAATACGTGGAGCTGTAAGAGAGCAAATAGCTGGTTTGAATCCTATTGGGAGATCAGGGAAGGCCTTGTTCCCATGTCAGTAAGCACTTGACTAGTCCAATGGCAGAGATTAAACTCTCCCACTCACTAGGGCAAGAACCTCTTAGGTGAAGGGCTTTTGACTTCCTGCACCTACTCCAATTTCTTGCTGAGTGTCTGGCACGTAGCCTCTGTTCAATAAATTTGTCGCATAATATTATATTTAAAAGTCTACAACTTGAAGTGTAGAAAAGATTGTCATCCTACTCTGACTGCAAATTATAACCACTTTAAAAAAAGATACATACAAGGAAAGAGGAAGAAAAACCTGCATGAAATTAGCTTGTGATCTGGAATATTTCTACTTACGAATATTTTTGGTGAATAACTTAGCATTTCCTTCCTGTGGTTGTCATAAACTCTTGGGACGTTTGCAGAATTAATGGAATATTCACAGAAGTCAGAGATTTTTTTTTTCCCTCAGAGCTCACAGAATAGCCTAGTTATAGAATGTTTAAGAAAACTCATAAAATAGTCACAAGATACATGGAATGGCGCATAACTCATGGAATCCTTAGATCCTTCAAGACTCAAATACTTGTGACTTCCCAAACTTGGAATTTTTTCTCTAGTTGTTCTGAGATTCTTGCCAGTTGGGTCACACAGTTTCACCAGCAGCGGGTACTAAAAGCTGGTAAAAAGAGAGCATGCATAAGCATGTCTATTCTTCTGCAGGAACATTTCTAGAGCCGAAAAATGTTTTAAGACATAGCAATCCGAGGTTTACTGCTTCTGACAGGTGGGGATGATGTGATGCAGCTGCAGCACTTGGCATTCTTTCTTCTAACAGATCACTCTGAGGTCTCTCTGACTTTTGCTTGTTAGCTGAGTGTGGGTAGGTGGCAGGGGATCTGCCCATACGGACTGTGAGTCCTATGACTCATTCTGAGCACCGCCCTTTATAAGGGATAGTGGCGGGTGGAATGGCTCAGGCAAGAGGAATGTGGGGCTGTGAAGGGTTCTGAAATTATGCTATGAGAGGGGGAGTGTCTGGAACAACCAGGGATATTTCTCACAGAGAGGGAATACTCAAGAATACTCTCTTCACACATCTGATGTCTGGCTCTGTGTGGCCCCAGCAGGCAGAATTAGAACCAGGTTGGCTTGACACAAGGAAGAAATTTCCAGCTAAGTGGAACTGCTTGCGTCTCTTTTGGAAGTGCCTAATGCTTGAATTGCCCTTCTCATTTTTTTATTCTTTGGCAACCTTCTCTT